AAGGGACAGCGTTCAGTGCTGTGGGCAGCAGCCAAGGGGAAAGGGCAAAACCCGATTTCAGACCAGGGAAAGTGAAGCAGCTTCGTGGGTGAGCTCAATCTCTCTTAGTTTCCCAACTTCTGCGTGGTTTGGGGGTTTTCCTCCCCTTTGAGCACATACAGCACCGTCACTGGGTACCTGAGCAGCGAGTCCGGGCTGGCCGGAGCCAGCTCTGTTAATGACTGAGCCTTCTGCTTTCAAAGTAGAAGCATCTTTTCACTAAATCTCTCCTTTTTAAAGCTATTTGTGTATTTTGTACGTTACCCTTGTGCAGGTCTTTGGTATCAGGGCTGGTTAGGAACTGGCAGCACGGAACCTCGTCCAGGTGCCCCAGGATTGTCCCACGTCTACTGTGGGCTGCCTCAACGCCACCGCCTGAGCAAACATTCCTCTCCTCTTTGCCAAGGAAAAGAGTTCCCTGGAAAGTGCAGCACCAGGGACTTTTTTTTGGGCTAGTCCAAGAGCAAGGCACCTTCCTGCAGCCCAGAGCACCACGGTGATGCGCCATCTCAGGAGCCCACACAGTTTCTGTGGTGCTGGAGACCTTTGGCTTCCCCAGGAACATCCCAGCGTGGAGTGGGAGCATACGGAGCTTGCCACGCCGAGGGGGAGGAGATGGATCAGTGCCGGGCCTCATCCCAAAGCCCATCCCAGCCAATTCCTGTGCTCCTGTGGATCGGAGCAGACGGGAACATTGTCACTGTCCTCCTGGCTCGACGAGACAGAACATCTTGTGCTGTTTTGCAGCTCTGCTGATGGGGCACTGAAGTGAAATTAAAGTAAAAATAAAAGCAGAGCTGTAACAGCATGCCACACACATCTGAGTCCCCTCTGCTCGCCGGTGCTTGAATGCCGGTGGATGAGCATCGAGGGAGCCGGGGACCTCAGGCCAAGCGTGAAGGTGCCAGCAGTGCTGTGGGAGCAGCGTGGCCTTCACTCCCCTCCCTCGGCTGACGTCCTCCTCGCCAGCTTTTCGCGCGCTGTGTCAGTCTCCCCTTGGCTGCTCCACTCGGTGCTGGGGCCGTCGTGTCACGCCGTCACCTCCTGCCTGCCCACGGTGCCTCGACGTGACTCTGCTCCGCTCCCCTTTCCGCGGCCCTTCCCTCTGCACTGGCTCCTCTTTGCTGTGGTGTTCCCTCTTGGCTTTTTCTTTCTGAGTTTTGAGCTGATTGCCTTCCCTATGAAAATGCTTTTTGGGCTCAGAGCACCAGCCTCACTAGCCATGTCCCCCCTCTCCTGCTGTGCCCGTGGCTACCATCTGCGTGGCTCTGGAGGAGGGAGCTGGTCCTGCGCAAAGCAACAGCCAGAAGCGAGGGGGAGAGTGGAGGAGGATGATGGGGCTTGGCTCCGGCGATGCTACGAGCTCCCAGGGCAGGGAAAACGGATTCCCCTTGGCTTTGGAGCTGGTGGACAGTCCCTGGTGCATGAAGACGCTCTGGTTTAGATCAGCTCTGCGTATCAGACGTAGGCTGGACGGACACCGATGGCTATCACACTTCTCGCCCTCGCCACGGCGATCAGGAGGTGGCCATCACACATCCTGTGGCTGGGAGATCTCCATTAACAACGGGAGGCTCTGCAGTGACACTCCAGCATGGTTATCGCTTTTGAGTTTGAGGTTTTGAAGCTTTTTTTTTTTTTTTCCTTTTCTTGGAAAACAAGCAGAGAGGAAAACATGCCTTTGCAACGAGCACTGCCAACTGAGAGGTTTGGGGCTGATCCTGAAGTTAGCGTAGGATTAGTCTGATCCCTGGGTAATGCCTTATCAGGATAAAGCGTCTTGAATTGTAATGCCAAGGAAGCCCAAGAGAGGTAAAATCCCTTTGTTTAGTTTAAATAGAAGCGTTTTCTTGACAGTGGCTGAGATCAGTCATGTTTTTCTTTCTTTGTTCTGCGACTCTGCGAAAAGACACGAATTAACACCCCAGTCTGGTGCGAGCTCTCCAGCTAACGGGGTTGTGCGGGTGCTCCGGCTCCTCCAGCTCCATCACCCGTTGCAGGAGGGGCTGGCAGCTGCTTCGGCCACTGAAATCCTCGGAAGGGCCCTTTCTGACATGGGAAGGTTTCCTGTGGGCTGCCCGCCTGCCTTCCACCCTCTTTCACATCCTAAGCTGTGGGGCTTTTGCCCTGCCCGCCGCACAGTGGTGGCCCACCACGAATCCTTCGGTCTCTCAGCGTTGCCCGGGACTCTGCTGCTCTCTGCATTTGCTGGTGATGGTGCCAAGAACCAGGAATTTCACAGGGACTCTTCGCTTGTGGAGCTGATGTCGGAGCCTTCGGTGAGGGATCTGCTCTCCCATACCCATCTCCGGTGACCTCATGTCCTAGTCATCCATTTGCAGAGCCATCAGTGCAGCGTATCTGTAAGTGGTTGACATAGAAGCATTAACCTTTCTCTTTTTGTACCTTTTCCCACCTGAAGAAGCCGCCTGGGCTATTTATAATTTGAGTATGTGCAGAATACCCGAGAGAGGGGCTGCAACTGGAGGGCTGAGCTGGCTGTGAGCTTTGAGTGTGGGCAAACTGGCAGCCAGCTCTTTCAGTTCGTTTTACCCATAAATAAATCGTTGTATATCTGCTTGCTTACCTGCCAAACTGAGTTGTTCTGAGGTTTGACATCTTTAAAAGAGGCTGAACCTCTGTGTTGCTGAAGCGGTGAAATTATTGTGTAGTCTTGGCAGGCTTTTCTAAAAGAAATATTTGAAACAAATCTCAGCAGTGGGCTGAGCACATCACACGTTATCTACTAGAGAGAATTAGAGGCTTCCCAAGGCTCAGCAGCGGCGATGGGATGTGCTGGGGTCCCTGCTGGTTCTGGACCACGCGTGACACCAGGATTGCTGGGCTGTGAGTTCCCATGGGATGCTCCGGGCTCAGCAGCCCGTTGGCCAGTTCGGGGTCGGGCTTGTCCTGCCCCAGCTCTCGTGTTGTCTCGTGGGACGTGGAGACCTGGGCAAGCCCGTGGCCAGAGGCTGCTGCGTCACCTCCTCCTCTCTGTGCTGTTGAGCGTCTCCACCGTGCTCAGGCTTCCACCATCAGCTGTTTCTCCCTCTCCAAATAAGCAGTTCACTACGCACCATCTGTTGATTTTAATTTCCCATAATTTGTTTCCATGTATATGATTTGTACTTTCATTAATTGTGCTGCTGAGTTTCTTATTCCCTGAGACTTGCTTTGCAGCGGGGAAATGATTGTGGTTTTTCCCTTCTGTCAAAGCTATTTTGGTTACTCACACAAACGAGCACTTTTGTCCTTTGAATTTTGCTCTCTGGGCAAGTCTCACTTAAAAAGAAATCTTTCAGAAGAGCAGTGCCAGACCCATTTGTGTCTTCATTACATCCTCCATACTGAGCACAGCCATTAAACATCTTTAAAAAGATCTGCCTCCCAAATGTTATTTCAGTGCCTGCGGAGCAGAGACCCTCGAAGCCATCGCCGGGGGCAGGTGCAGCCCCTGCGGCGATCGCGGGACAGCGCGAGTGCTTCCCACGAGCTGGGGATCCCTCCTGGGTCCGGCGTGGGCCTCGCTCCTCGGGCTGCTTCACTAGATGGAGTTATCAGCCAGTCGTGGGTTTTTCGGGATGATTCGGCGTCTCCTTACCCCGTAACCCTGCACGCAGGGATGATGGTTTTCCCCGTCTCCACGCTGAGCCTTGGCATGAGCCTTGGATCGGGGCTCGGAGGAGTTCTGGGGTGGTGCAGTGTTTCCGTGCTCAGCCTGGACTCGGGGATGCAAATGCTGCGATTATCCCGAGTTAGTGCTGCTTTTTTATGGTGTGTTTCCAAGGCAACTGGAAATTCAGAAGACCACAAACACACACACACAGTCCTCTTCTTCTGAGACCTTATCCTCCAGTTCACAGGTAAACACTCTCAGTGACATTTTTCAACCCGTTTGAATGCTCATCTGAATAGTCCCCACTGTCCCCTCGTCTGGCTGCCAGCAGCCAGAGCGGGTAATTGCCTCCTTTGAAGGCTGTAAAACCCAGCCAGCTACACAAACAGGTTTGCTTTTGTTCTTTGAGTGTTTTTCCCCCCACCGCCTTGCTCGGAGGGGAGCGATACCAGAGAGGCTGCAAAAAAAACCCCAAAAATGGGGATTTTGAACAAAGGAATACAAGAAGCAGCGGTTTGATGCTTTCTGAAAATACTATTTTTTTTTTCTGGGAGGGATGAGGGAGCTGTGCCGGTGGTGGGGGGGTAAGAGAAGTTTGAGGAAGGGCAGGAGGGCAGCGGGGAAGGATGGAGCGGTTATCCCTGAGGAGCTGCACGGAGGAGGCAGCGGCGGATCGCAGGTCTCCTAGGAAGGCTCCTCGGGTGGTTTTCTTTGGCAGTTGTGGGATTAATCTAAATTAACCTACAAGGTGGGAATTCTCTCGTGGAGTTTGGTTTTTCCTTCTGGAGCCTGCACAGGTGTTGTGCTGGTGTTTGGGCACGGGGACACCAGACACCGGGGAGGTGGCACCGCTGGGAGCCGGGTCCCAGCTCCACCCAAATCCCGGGGAGTTCACGGGAGAAGTTGGTGTTTGATTCTTCTGCAACCCCCTGCGGCACCAGCTCATCTGCACCTCACAGCGACACCTCTCTGCAGAGAGGTTTGCCAAACCAGAACCTTTCTGGGCAGATTTTGGTGTTTTGCACTGCGATGCTCCGTATGAAAGCAACATTTCAGCTGGTGCAGATTGTGGTCTTTTCCCCTCCAGCGCACTTATAAATACAGAAATCTCTCCTTTCTGTCTTGGCTTCCCAAGAAACTGTTGGTTTGGGTTCATAGTGAAGTACCTTAAGCAGCATGGGAGGATCTTGCATTGAGCTCAGATTAAAAGAATTTAGGTTAAAGTGAGAAGGGTAACGACCCAGCCTGCTCGCGCCGGTCTTTGCTTTGTTGAAGCACAGGAGGAGGGATGGTCTCAGGGCCATTGTAGGGTTTGACCTTACTGTTTTTTTCCTTTCTGTTTCAGAGGGGCTGGCAGTAGGAGTTGGATTCGGGGCTATTGGAAAATCCACATCTGCAACCTTCCAAAGCGCCAGGTAAGCCACAACTGCATGCATCAGGATTTTGTGCGCCTTGGCCTCTTGGAGGTTGTCTGTCTGTCCCCCATTGCTGCTGGCTGGTTGGAGACGCCTTGACTGAAACTTGTCTGGAAGCGCAAGTGTGGGCAGAAGGAGCTGTTGTGTTTCCCTAGTGGTTGTGCTTGTCAGACGTGACAGGGAAATGCTGAGATTTTCCACAAAAGCTGCATCCCCGACGGGTAGGAGCAGCTGCCGGAGCTGCTGGAAAGCGCGTGGTGGCTTTGTTTTCCATTCCTGCCAAGCAGGGCCACTAGACTCTGTAATTCGTGGCAATAAAGACCCTCAATCCTCCTGACATCCCTGTTTGCCTGCTCCAGCCTCGCCAGCAGCCGCTCTCGCCCAGTTCAGTTTTCAGCAGCACCAGCAATTGCCCCGTGCAAAACCTGTTGCGCTTCTCTCCGGGACGGGTGTGAACACGGCGGGGGGGTTAATTCAGCTCCTCCAAACTGTCTGGGTCTGGGGTTTGGATGTTCGGGTGCATTTTCATACCAAGCGGGAGCAAAACCTGGGTGTGTGAGGTGGGTGATGATGGAGAGAGCCCTGCAGCTTCCCCGCACCCAGCCACCCCCGGCAGAGCTGAAACTGGGCTGACGTAGCTAAAGAAATGGGAGAAAGGGAGAAGTCTGGTGCGAAGCGGGAGCTGGAGGAGCTGCCTGGGCTCTGGAAGAGCTGCTGGCACCTCTTGGTGGCTGGCTCGCAAACGGCACCCTCCTGCCGAGGCTCCTCGACCTGCTGTTACCAAATGTTTTTCTTTTTCCGTTTGAATTTTCCACCTGAGGCTCGTGGCACACCGCGTTCCCTTCGCCCTTTCTTTACCAGCCCCACGCTGTGATTTGTGTGGCTTGGGGACACGCGCTGCGTTCAGCCTGTGAATAACCTGTCCAGCCCTTAGAGCTCGTGGCTGAAAGTGCTGTTCTGTCTCAGCCACCTTGCTCCTGCCAGAGGATCCGTGCGGCTGGTTTTGAGCCCTCCAGGCTGTCCACCCCCTTCTTTGGCCGAGCACAAGCTGCGCTCTCGAGGATCCTGCAAAGACCTGAGCAAAACCTTCCGCACCCGATGCCCTGTTAATCGCAGGCTGGTGAGGGACCCATCCTGATATAGCATGCTGCCCCTGGCGCTTGGATTGCAGCAGATACCATCCAGATTTGTGGGGAGACAAGCAGGATACATCAGCTCTTAGACACCGCGTTTCTCAAACCTTTTGAAATAAAAGGCTCTTCATAAAGTCTGCAGAGACTTTAGAGACGCTCGAACAAAAGGACTTTTTCTCATCAGCTGCTCAGTAGAAGCTAAGAAGCCAGAAGCAGCTGGTTCTTTCTCTGTATTTACAACAGCATTAATCATGTTAGATGAAAGGTGGAGTCTGTACCATGAAAATACCAATGCAAATTTAGTCAGCTGCGAAAGGAGACAAAATAACTTCGTCGCCATCAATCTGTCTGTCATCTGCGGGCAGCCCAAAAAGCGCTCGGTGTAGCTGCTCCGCCGTGAAGCCATTTGGAAATATCCAAGTGTATAATTTGAGGTGGCTAATTTGTGTTATGTAGGCTTAAAAAAACCCACAGCCATGGAATTATACTTGGTGGGAGCTAACGTGAGAAATAGAGCTAACTCTTTTGATACATCCGAAGGGGAAATTGCTCCTTGGCCAACCTCCTCTCTTAGGGACACAACAGTCGTGGTCCCCCCTCGTGTCTGTTATTTTGAAATAGAAATGTTTCTTTTGAATTAGTTTGAAATGTTTTAATGAAACAGCTGGGTGACTTGTTTTACCTCCTCCATTCCGCTCCTGCTTCCCCCTGGGTGTGACTAACCGCGTTAGCACCGAGCTGAGCTGGAGCTGGGCTGAGCTGCCTCTCGGGAAGGCTCATTCCTCCAAACCTTGAATCGTGCAGAAGTATTTATTAACGTGCTCAGAGCCCGAGCAGAAGATGCGAATGCCTGGGGACGCTGGTAGATGTTTCCAGGGCTGGCTGGGACTTGCCCACGCTAACCAGGGGACCTTCCTTGCTGCCTTGTGCTGGATGCATAAATGCTGCCTTGCCTGGGGAAGCGCTGCCTGATTGCACTGCTCCCAGAGGGGTGAGATCTCGACAGGAGCCTGAATTCATTCCAGCTCGCTGGAGGGCCCTGGTGAAACCCAACCGTGCTGTATTCCGAAGGGCTGTTTTCAGAGCCACGGGCTTTGCAAATAAGCAGCAAGTTTGCAGAGAGACAATTAGGGAGAAGGGGAGAGCACCAGGCGCGCCGCAGAGCGCAGCGGTGACGTCTGGGCATCGCGAACAGCCGGGTGCTGCTCCGGCCAGCTTTGCTGTTGAGGAGTTAACACCCAGTTCTTGAGACCTTGCAGGGATCTGGTGAGGTTTTTTCCTAGGCTGCGGACTTGCCCCTGTGCTGGCGGTGGGAAGGTTTCTCGGTGCTGCCTGCTCCCTGCCTGCAGCAGGAGGGATGCTGCGGGGCTCCTGCGCTTGGGGCTGGTGCTGGTCAGAGCTCAGCCCCGGCCGAGCGTGGCAAGGGAACGTTTTTGGGGTTTGAAGCACAGTGGGGCTGGGTGTGCTGCAGAGCCGGGGTCGGCTGGGAGCCGTGGTGGCCGGGAAGCACCAGCACAGGCAGTGGAAGCAGAGCCCTGTGGGCAGAGAGCCACGGCGGATGGCCTGAGTCAGGGGGACACTTGGAAATTTGGCTAAAAACCAAAAAAAGATGATTCGGCAGCAAGGTGGGACTCTTACCTTTCAAAACACCCGGTGCTTTGCATGTGTTGGCATCACCCCTGCCATCATTCCCTGTTTCTCTGGGCTCTGGTGGGGTCCTGCCCCTGCTGGCAGGATCTGGCCCTCTGCACCCCAACTCCTCGGAGCATCTCGGTGCTGCCTGCCAGCCCCTGCCCGCACTCGTCCACGTTTCTTTGCTGCCACCGGGTGTGCAGGCTCCGTTCCTGCGGTCTCGCAGCTCCACGGCTCCTCTCTGCCCTTGCCAGGGTGAGCCCTTGGATTTCAGCCCCCCCCCATCTTGCGAGTTGTTTCATTTAGGGGGGGGAAACCCGCTTTATTTGCCCTCTCAGAGGATGCCCCAAACCGCGGTCCCGTGCCCGAGGAAGGTGACGTCTCAGCAGTGGGCTCGGATCTTCGCTTTTGTGTGCAGATGGGTATCGGTCCTCGCTCAGGCCTTCTTTGGAAAGGTGATGTGGGTTTTATGGCAGTTTAGACAGGGCTTAGGACAACTTAACATCTGCTTTTGGGGTGTTTCCCGTGGGGGGTGGCTGAGCTGCTGTTTGTCCTTGGGCAGGAGCATCCCTCCCTGTGGCAGGACTGTGGTTCTCCTGCCCAGCTCCTTGCAAGGATAAAACCATCAGAAAGTCCCACGGGTTGGCAATAGCAGCTCAGGACGAAGCTGCTGCGGTGACAGAAGAGGAGCGAAGCCCCAGAGCGAGCGTGTGCCCGGGGCGGAGGAGCAGTGCCTGGCGTGGGGTGCGCAGCACACCCCGGGAGGGGAAGGTCCCCTCCAGATGTGAGCAGGGAGGCGTGAGCCGCTCCTGGCTGCCTTCCAGGCAGGAAGGTAAAGAGAAGGGCAGCCATGTCTTAAAAAAGCTGCTTTACCTCCCCCTCTTTGCACGCTGTAGCATGGGGGGAGGAAACCCTCTCCACCTTGTGGGGCTGATTTAACAGGAACCAGATGGGGCTGGAGCTGCTGAGATCAGGCCGGGCTGGAGCTGCACTTCTCTTGGCCGCTCTGGGGATGCAAAGCGGGCAGGGGGGCAGGCAGGGGGGGCAGGCAGGGCTGGTGCACTTTGCCAGTGGCTTCCCCAGGGGCCAGGCCAGGTCCCTGCTGCTGGCCACGCTCCTCACGTCCCTCCCGCCAGGGCTGTGGTGCAGGGGAGCAGTGAGAGTTGGGGTGGCATCTCCCTCTCTCCAGGTCCCTGCTGTGTCTTTTAGAGGCCAAAACCACCCACTAGTGAACCCTGGGGTGACCCTGAGCCCCTCATCCCACAGGGGCTATGCCTGCGATGCTGGGCAGCTGCGAGGTGGGGTCTGAGGCTGGCAGGGAGGAGCCCCCCCCCCATCCCCACCCTGCCATCCCCTCTGGACCACGTCCCTTCCCTCAGGACCCAGGAGCTGCAGCATCTCCATCCCACATCCCCCAGCCCCGCCGTGGGAGCTTGTGCCCTGGCTGGAAACAGGAGTGTGGAGGGGGGGGTGGGG